AGTTTATTAAGGTTGGAAAAAATATACGTGTAGTACACAAAAAATATTATTAGGCTATTAAGATCCAAGCTCGGACCGTAAACGGCTTATTTAATATTGATTGATTGTATAACGGTCATAAAACGGGGGGTCTTATTTCTCTTATATTATTAAAAATATTATAACTTTTTTTTTAATTTTGTTAGTATTTTATTAAAAGAAAAAAACTAATAAACGTATAATGTTTATTCTAGTTCAGACAATAACCACACTTATTCTGAATAAGAAAATTTTTTGTTTTTGGGTTTCTGATACCTATAGAACAGCCAGAATCATTTACTCCGTCTGTCATTTACACCTTCTAGTGATCAGGATATAACATAGAAAAAATTAGCATTTTTCTTACTTAAAAAATAAAAATAAATTCTTAAAATAAGGTTAAATAAGAACATGCAAAGTTTAACAATATTCGCTTTCTTTGTTCCGCTATAAAAAATTCCTATGTATGAAAAATACTTATTTTTAAGACCTTTCAAACCAAAATACGCCCTTAATTTATTGTTTGTTATTAATATATTGTTGTTAATTATATACATATAAGTATTAGAAAGCATATGGTATAAAATAATTTCAATATTCAAATTATTGTAATAATAATAAAAAATCAATTATTTACATTTTCTTGTGTGTGTATGCGTGATGTTATTGACAATAGTTTTTTTGCACGTTTACATTTCTTTTACATATTTTTTACACGCTTAATTTTCACAAGTGTGATGTCAAATACAGACAAGATTTTTGTTTATCTGTTATAAGCATTATTTCGAATGCAAAATTTTTATAATCAAACGTTTTTAATAATCAAACATTTTCAAACTGCAAACGAGGGACAAGCAATATCATCTACACAGCATGTATATAGCCTTAAAATACTATGATCTTTTCTAGCAGCACTAACGTATAATTTGTCCGCCGACATTACGAATTTCTTCTGCAGCAACACATAAAATGTTGAACAGTTTCCTCGAATGGTTGTAACAACGTCTGTATGTCCTTGCATTATTAATTCGTTAAGGTATTGTTCACATCCTCATTCTAAAATAATAATCTTATTAAAAAATGTTTATTCTTCTTTAAAGAAAATGCTGTCTCAAATGTTATTCTTTCAAAAAATTTTGACAGACTTGGAAGAAAAAGTTTAAATATAGAGACAGAAACTTATCTTAACTTTTAAAATATATTTAAAATTTTTTTAATGCATTTAATGCGCGTGTGAGTATGAAAATGCAATTTGTTTTTCTAAATATGATAAATATTATTTTTTAAAAGCTTAATGACAATAATAATTAACGGCAAGACGTTTGTGTGTGATAAAAAATTTACAACATAAAAATACACAAATATATATAATTAAATGTAAAATATGTCTGTTTAATTAATAATATTCACGATGTTTAGAAATACAAATTGGATTTTCATATTTACACGCGTGTAGCCGGGGCGTATTAAAAAAAGAGGTGTAGCCTTGGAGGGTTAATGATGCAAGAGCATGCAGACGTTGTTATAATCGTTCAAGAAAATTGTTCAATATTTTATGTGATTGTTGCAGAAGAAATTTGTAATGTCGGCGAATAAATTATACGCTAGTGCTTCTAGAGAAAATCGTAGTATTTTAAGACTACATGCTGTGGATGATATTGCTGGTCACTCGTTTGCAGATTGAAAATGTTAAACGTTTGATTATCAAAATCTTGCATTTGAAGTCACGCTTATAACAGATAAATAAAAATCTTGTCTGTATTTGACATCACACTTGTAAACGTGCAAAAAAACTTGTCAATAATATCACACACACGCACACACAGTAGAAAATGTAAATAATTGATTTCTTTATTATTACAATAATTTGAATATTGAAATTATTTTGTATCATATGCTTCCTCACGCATATATGTATGTAATTAATAACAATATGTTAATGACAAATAATAAATTACAAGAGCGTATTCTGGTTTGAAAGATCTTAAGGACGTTCTCCGGAAAATCGATTTTCTCTAGATTTTTTTTAAAACTGTGAATATACATTAATTTTTAGGTGCATGCTTTATGTGTGGTATAAATTTCAGTACCTCTTACGGTATTAAAAATCGAGAGATTGAGCTTCAAAGTTTCAATTTTTAACTTTGGAATTCCTATTCCGAACTATTGTAAAACAGACATTATAATGAATTGTGAAAAAAGTTTTCTCTAAATGTTTTTGAAAAACTAGTATATGATTCATAAAAATAGAAATAATATGCGATAAGTGTCAATACCCTTGCGGTACGCGTTTTCGAGAAATACTTGTGTAAAGTACGCGATTTGATGAATTTTTCGCTCGGTTCAGGAATGACAGAAGAAGAGAGGCGTCAGTTATTACTTGGCAACGCCGCATGAGTTCTCACGCGTAAAGTTAACTTCTTATTTTTTAGTAATTTTAGTTGTTATATGTAATATTTTGTATATAAACAATGAAGGGTCAAAGCACATAACATGGCGTAGCGATATACGACGGTCGTAGTCCCCGACCTGACAGATCAGGATACGCCAAAGCTTGTGCGTTACTTATGTCCACGACTACGACTGTCATATGTGCTTTGGCTTTAACTTTAGTAAAATAAATTTTTCTTTTTAAGCATGAATACAAGTTGAGCACGACTGGAGCCGGAGAAGGTCTTTAAAAATAGGTATTTTTCAGAAATTTTTAATTAGGTGAACGAAGAAAGCGAATAACGTTAAACTTTGCATGTTCTTTTAATCTTATTTTAAGAATATATTTTTATTTTTTAAGTAAGAAAAATATTCTTCTTATCTATGTTATATTTTAAAGACTAAAAGATGTAAATGAGAGATGAAGTAAATGATTCTAGCTGTTCTAAATATCAGAAATGTAAAAACCAAAAACTTTCTTATTCAAAATAAGTGATGGCTATATCGTCTGAACTAGAATAAACATTGTTTATTAGTTTTTTCTTTTAATAAAATACTAATAAAATTTTGAAAAAAGTTATATTTTTAATAAAAAAGCCGCTTTTACACACACAGAATAGAAATATTGATTTAATTCTAGTTCAGACAATAGCCACACTTCTGCAGAATAAGAAAATTTTAGCTTTTTGTGTTTCAGATACCTAGAACAGCTAGAATTATTTACACCGTCTGTCATTTATAGTGACCAGGATATAACAGAAAAGAAGAGCATTTTTGTTATTTAAATAAAAATAAAATTTTAAAATAAGGTGAAGAGAACATGCAAAGTTTAACGTTATTCACTTTCTTTGTTTCCCTATAAAAAATTCCTGAAAAATATCTATTTTAAAGATATTTTAAATCAGAATACCCCCGTTAATAATTGTTTACATTCTCTTCCTGACGGAAGAGATTTTATCACCTCTCAATATACATATAAAATTTATCTTGTAATGGTTTCATTCCATTACTCCGGCGTTTTTATATTTGTGATTTAATTAGATTATTGTTTATTTTGTTTATATATTATTAGAAAATTGTTTAATGTTTTAGTCTAATAGACTAATGTTTAATGTTTTAGTATGTTAACTTAAACATTATCATGTTTTAATATTTATCTTCTTCTTTTATATTTATAGTAATCCGTTCCGAAAAAAACTAATTATAATAAGTACAGTCGAAATGTTACCCATGTGTATTGTTTATTTAATAAAGTGTTTTTATTTTTATCCAATATCCTTTTGTTGTTGCTTGTAATTTAGCCGTAATTTGGCCAATTGAACACGCATAGGTAAAATAAATTTAATAAGAGTAAAAGAACATTATAAACTACAATTATTTCTCATAGTTAATAATATAATTATTGGTATGCATTTAAATATTACATGTAAATATTGTTATGCTAAAGTAAAGATTTTTAATGTAAGACTTTTTTAGATAGAAAAGCATATGTATAGAACCGTGATTTTTATACATTACATTTGCGAATTTTAATTTTTAAGTTTATAAATATTTATTTAATTAATCCTCCATAGATGGTTGTGCCATCGTTGCTTTGTCTGTTGTAGATAGTGCTACAAATAATAACAATTATCATATAAACAATATTTTTTATTTCTACAGATTATACTGTCTACAGTCTTTCAAATTATAAGCAATACGTACACATAAATATTTGTTTTACTTACAGCAAGTAAGGTAATCTTCTTCTTGTCTTTCTTCCACTTCTGTAGGCATTACATTTGATAATATTGACGGTAATACATTTGGTCTTAGTCGAATTCGTAATGGGTTCGTGTCATCGAAGGCTTCTCGTGGAAAATGGGCCGAACAAATACGAGCAGTATTGGGGACGTATGAAGGAAGACCCAAGATATCAGTCCACAAATTGCGACTAGTATCATTTTTTGGGATACTAAAAATAAATGCTACTATTATATTGAACAATTTCTTACAAAATATTTTACTAATACTATATTATTTTATACAAAATTAAAAATAAACCTAACCTGTGAAATGTAATCTTCCGATTTTTATCAACGTTTATTTGTTTCCAATTTTGGCAATCGGATCGATTTTTGGCTCATAACATTGCACCATTTTGCTTTTTTTTCTTTTTGCTAACAAAAAGAAAAGTATATTTGATGATTGTCTCACTGCAAACTCAGTCTCACTGCAAACAGTCTCACTGCACTTGCGCATTATTACAGCCAATCAGATTTAGGCACATAATACCTCGTCCCTTCGTCGCGCAATGGCTTCTCCCCCGTGAACTCATGCTCCATCCCTATATTCTTATATCCATGGTCTGTCCTTCTCTTCCCGCTCGAAGCTTGCCCGAGTGCCGAGCGTACACGGACAGAAGAGGGGCTTGCGCGACCAGCATATCCCCTCCATCTGAGTAGTTCGGACACGAACCATAGCACGGACACGAACCATGTGTGTACCGTTACCGAGCGTAACGACGTAGTTGACGTCCACTTTCTCAGGCGGCTCGTCAGTATACGTCCGCTGGAACGGAATGATCCCGGTGGCCGCTCTCAAATTTATCTCTGGTACTAGAAAATGGTTCTTAATACAACATGTACCCATATCAAAGGACCCTGCTATATCCTTATAAAAATTGGGTTTCAGTAAAATTAGCTAAAACTTTGGAAATAAATAGTTTATGTAATGTTGATTAAAAGTCACAATGGACAAGATTCACAATAATCAACCGTTTAGATGTTATCGGCGTTTAAAAATCAAAATAAGGTGTTATTTCAGTACTATTGTAGGACAATGGATTTCGGTGTAATTGGCTAAAACTTTAGAAATAGATAGTTTATATGATGCTGATTGAAAGTTATAAAAAGCAAGATTCACAATAATCGACCGTTTAAGCGCTATCACAGCGTTCAAAAGTCAAAATAAGGCGTTATGTCAGTACCATTGTAAGACAATGGATTGCAATGTATTATTCTACAGGATCACACAATTTATTCTTTTTGTTAATACAAAAATATGTATTTATGTGAGAAAAATGTATATGTATGTACTGTGACGTGACAAATGTCACGTCCCTCACCCCAGATGAAAGCTCGGCCGAGAGAGGCGTCAGGGATGGTGCCTCCGCCCGAGGCGAGCGGAGGGCAAGCGTTTTAGGTTAAGTCTTAAGGCCTTTTGAGCGAGAATTACAGGTATCGAGGGAGCAGGAAGCAGTTGGCCAGGAACACGAAAATCTGTAACGGCGTATGCCGCACCGATGGACTTACAGGTGGACAGCCGGAAGCTTCCAAGGACGGACGGTCGACGGGCGGGTCACGCTGGAGCCCACAGCCGGAAAGCAGCTGGCCTGTCAAGGCACACATTGGGCACACATCTAGCCCGCACCATGGTAGAAATACAAGGGTATGCTCTTGCGCATATTTCCGAACCCA